TTTTGGATGCACAACACAAAAGCTTACACTTAACAGCTTTTTCAACATAACGCAACAGGTAACCCACCCCAAAACTCAAAAGTAAAGCTCTCGGCCCACATTGAAACAAGCCTTTGTAACACAATGCAACCTCAAACAACATGCATAACTCTAGATCTGCTCCAAAACAATGACTACAAACTATGTTCTGGATTGCAACTGTATTTAAACATCATGCAACAGGGTTCCCACTTTAACCGCATGCATAACTCTGGATCTGCTGGAAATCATGGAATGCACGGTGTGTTTACATGCAACTCGAGTTGTAAACATTACATACACAGAGTGCACAGTCTAACGCTTTTCTTGACCAATGCACACTTATTTTTGCACATGCATTTGTCAGTTTTATTGGCATAAACTCATTTAAAGTTGACGAAAGAGTCCCAGCAGCTGTCATCATGCCGTTACCTTCCTGACGCCTTTATAAATGTAAAAGTAAAGCTCCCGGCCCACATTGAAACAGATTCTCTCGCCGTTACCGGACTGATCGTTCACGTTCACGAACGACACTTTCACCGGGTTCGAGCCCTGCGAGTTGAACGACACGCGGTTCGGCCGGCTGTACTCGGAGTTCGGCAGGAGTTTATAGACGCCCTCCCGTGTGCTGAATTGAGTTTTAATTTCGTTCGCCTCCTTCCCACCTCCCTCCGCCGCCATCTTCCTCATTAGTATTCATTCCGCATCGTGCACGAGCATGCGCGCGCCCCTCCTCCTCCTCTGCGCGAGACCGACAGCACTGCGCGTTCACGAGACTTAGGCGAGAGGTAAAATCGTGGTTTTGAAAATTTGGCAAATAAATATAACGCAAAGGATACAGAAGAAATACACAGCTGTTCTATCGTTGCATATACAAAAAAAATATTTTCCCAATTCTATATATCTAATATATAGAATTCTATAATTCTATATTTAAAGGGGTCATATGATGCGATTTCAATTTTTCCTTTCTCTTTGGAGTGTTACAAGCTCTTGGTGCATAAAGAAGATCTGTAAAGTTGCAAAGACTAAAGTTTCAAAACCAAAGAGATATTCTTTATAAAAGTTAAGAGTTAACCACACCTACCTAAAACGGCTCGTTCGAACACGCCCCCACATACCTACATCATCGCTCTGGCCTGACAGGGCATCATCACAGTATGTGAGGGGCGTAACATTTCCGTCTCACGCTTGAGGTATTCGGCCAATCACAACGCACTGGATAGCTGGCCAATCACAGCACACCTCGCTTTTCAGACCAATGTTTGTAAAAATCGACGCGTTTCAGAAAGGCGGGGCATAGAGGAGAAACAATAATGTACAGTATGTGGAAAATAATGTGTTTTTTTAACCTTAAACCGCATAAACATATTTCATTACACCAAATACACAGAATAATGTTCTTTTTAGCAACATCATATGACCCCTTTAAATATATATATTTGGCCAGATTTATTTATTTATTTATTTTTGCCGATTTTTGATGATTATTAATGCACATTAACATTCTTAAAATTTTTAAGACAAAAAAAAAAAAAGAAGAAATAATCCGTATATAGCCTAATGCCTTTTATTGTCACTTCTGGTCAAAATAAATCAATTTAAAAAATGCCCGATTTATGCGTATTTTTCCACTTCTGTGTAGATGTGACATTTACACTAAACATGCAAATTAATATACAGCAAAGGATACAGAAGAAAGACAGCTGTTCTATCGTTGCATTATATATATATATATATATATATATATAAACTTAA